ATCAGTAACTTTGAAAAAATGAAACTAGTTCGACTTGAAGCAGAAACAGACACACAAGCACCAAAAGTTTATGAGATATATGTTGTAGACTTGCAATGAGGAAGATAAAAAGAGATGGAATAATTTGATTCACCAAGAAACATCAGCTTTGCAGATACTCCCAAGAGTGGAACAGATGGGGGAGTCTACAAAATCTTACTGTGGCTGTTTGGAGCCAGTGTGAGAGGGTCAGAAGTCAGAGGTCATATCACTGAGTTCAGCACAGCTCAGAACGGTGGCTACTCAAGCACTCTGCTCCCTGTGAGGGGCCCTGTGAGCAGGTCCACCTTCAAGATCACAGCTCTCTCTCTTCCAGGGGCAGGGCCATGCTGGACTCACTTCCTGTCCTTAAAGATTCTCTGTGTCCCAATGAGCTTAGTAAATGCAGAACTGGGACATAGTCACATTGCTGCTATAAATTGAGCATCTGCTCTGTGCCAGTGATTTCCCATCAGCTCTAAAATGTGACTAACTTCTCAGGCCACATCCGTAACATAGCTGGAAGTTCTCTATTTGTATAGATAAGGAACCAAATGCCTGAAAGTGTCATTTCCTGTCATGAGAGAAATACTCAAGAGACATGTGTGAGCTTGAAGCTGAGCTACTGAGTCCAACACTTGACAGCCTAAGGTCAGACCTGAGGTGTGTGCGTGTGTGAGAAGGTTCTTCCTGAAGGAGGTGAAAAACTACTTGCCCTGGAAGCTAACACTGGACATCAGCTTTGGTATTCAGAGTAGTCACAAATTGGGACCTGCAGCATCAGTATTAACTAGGAACTGGTTACAAGTGCAGAATCTCTGGGTCACCGTAGACCTGCCCATCAAAATCTACATCTAAACAAGATCCCGAATTCATATACCCATTGATGCTGGAGAGGTTCTGGTCTTGAATGGTATTTCTCATCTCTGCACTGTTGACATGTGTGCTGGATACCTCTTTGTGGTGGGGCAGTCCATGCATTGTAAGTCATTGAGAGGCAGCCCTGCCCTCAATCCACTAGGTGCCTGTAGCACTTCCCTAGTTGCTGACAACAAACAATTTCTCCAGATATTGTCAATTGTTCCTTGGTGGCAAAATCACTCCAGTTGAGACCCACTGGCCTGGACTAGAAGCATCTTGAGGGAGTTCCAAACAAAGCCAATCTCTTTCTCAGTTCATAACTTAGGGCAGATGCTTCACCCTCTGAGCCTCATTTCTGCAAATGTAGAATGGGTTTCATAATAGTACCAACCACAAAGAATGGACATTTGTAAAAATGAAATAAGACAATCCACATAAGATTCTAAGCTCAGTCTACAGTGTATAAGAAGATCTAAATATATCTTATAATTAAACATTTTTAATAGAAGGAATAAATGATAGCTTTAAATTAGAGTTATAAGAATGTATCTCCTAATTGATCTGTCAGAAGTCAGATAAAGCCAAGAATTATAGTACCATTTGTTTTGTGGCAAAGGAACACATCTCTCTCTCTTGTTGAAGAGGGGTTAGCAATTTTCTGAAGATATCAGGAGCTGTTCCCACCACAAGTCAATACTGTGGAAGTCCAAGTCAAGACAGACTCCTCAGTGGTAGATATGGAGAAAATATTAACTTAGGGTTAGGATAAGATTGAAGGAGATTAGACCTCTGGGAGGCAGGTGAGTTCATAGAAAAGGAATAACAAAAACTGGATTCACCTGACCTCTAATATGGTCTACAGGGAATAGTGAATCAGCAGGAAATTTTCCTTTCTTTCCAGACCAGGGTCCCATGGGGAAATAATGTGCTCAGAGGTGGGAGTAACAATGAAAACAGTGCCTAATGAGCAGATAAAGGGAGCTGAAAATATCTTCTTGGTTGCAGACCCTTAGGGTGTTCACCTTCAACTGGACAGAACATGATTGTTGCCTTGGGATTCCTAAGTCTGGTTGGGGACCAACACTTTACTCTTTTCTGTTGTCTTCTTTGGGGACAGAGCGTTGGTCTCCATCATCAATGATGCAGGCAGGAATTCAGACTTCCACAAAAGGATTTCCACTCAAAGACCCCATGCAGGTGAGTCTGAAAGCCCAGTAGCTACTTCAGGAAAGATTTCGAGATATTGGAACCTGACAACAAACAATTTCAAGAACTTCTCCTTGAAGTCAACTGAGAGCCAAACCAGCCTAACTCACAGCTGAGAGGTTGCCATCTTTGTGTGCTACACAAATTAATTTTTAATCAATTTATTTAATATCTTGCAACGAGAAGTGTCTGTTGGACTCAGCAATACAAGAGTAATTGTTGACAATCAAGAGATAAGAATGGAAGTCCAGTTGGATGAGATGGAGGAAGGAAGTGGAGGCATAGAGTATTTTAATAAAAGTAGAACATATTAGAGGAATTTTGTAGTTAAGGGCAGTAGGAAAATAGAGTAACAGAGGGCATTTTCCCAACTTTTTAAGATAGGTTGTATTTGAGCCTGTTTTGTATTTGTTAGAAAGGTTCAGACCCATGGACATAGATATTACCTCGCAATAGCAGGTCCTGAGAAATACCTTTCAGAGTACCATTGTTCACATTGGGCAATCCACATGAAAAATTGCATTTAATATGCTAATGAGCATTACTTTGCAATCCTTTATTACCAAGAGGTGGGGAAGCAATGGAAATATTTTCAGGGTAGGAGAAAAAATTAGCCAAATCTCATCACCAGTGATAACCATTCACTTAGTAACAGGCAGGAACTGTGCTAAGCTTTTAAGGGAGAATATTAACATACAATGATTAATTTAGAATCATTCTGTTGTTTCTCTAAGTTCAAGCAGCTAACATGTGGTTGGTAGATCAAGATTCAAAACTGAGATTCAGTTTTCTGATTCAAGAAGTTTTGCACCTAAAATCATTTAGAAACGTCTCACCAATTATCTTTTTAGTACCTTCATATTGTTGTACATTATATATTTTCTGTTGTAAGTTGTGTGTTTATTCCCTTAGCTTATTGGTCTAGTGGATGTTCAATCAGGAATATGTCTTGACACCATAAATCGAGCTCTTTTCTCTTTCGGGTAAATAGTTTTTTTTTTTTTTTTTTTGCTGTTTGTTCAGTTATTCTGGGCGTCAAGGGGATAGAACTGCGGTGGGAATGCTGCCAGAACCAGGCAGCTTTGTCCTCATGTCAGTTGCTCATGGGCCCTCTGAGCTTTTGGATCTCATTTTTCTCTGTGTCTATTTCTCTCCTCTCTCACTTTTCCCCAAATGTCTCAAATTTTTTAATACAGGGCACAAAAATGATGTCATTAAAATGGATTTCCATGTTTACATGTTCTCGGGAGACTTACCGACTTGTTGGGAAATATTCCTACATTCTTTATAATAAAGATAATTTGATGTTAAAAACTTGCCTTACTTATATCATTCCCTTCCCAATTAATGTGGTGGTAAGTGAGGAGAGCAGGGAGTCACGAGGACCCAGGTCACAGTGTGCTGTGTGTGTTGTGTGTGTACACACACACGCATATTTTGTGGGGCATGAGTGTTAAGTAACACTGTGGGCAGTGTTACCTAAGCTCATGTACTCCAAAATGTGGCCCTTTAAAAACAGGCACTACAATCTTAACCAGAAGATGGAAATAAAGAAAACAACAATTCTATGCACAGGAATCCTTTGAAACAAAATGTAAAATAAAAAAGAACAACATGTAGGAGAGGGACTACCTATGTTTTGATAGCAGCAGCAGCAGCAGCAGCAGCAGCAGGGCCACCTCGTTCCTCCACATTCTCTGACACCATCCCTCATGACTCTGCCTCTTGCTCATTCCCCCTCACACTCTGACTTCCCAAGAACCATGTGATTTCACTCATATGTGGGATATAAAACTGAAGCAACAAATGAGCAAACAAGATAAAACAACAAAAACTCAGGCACAGAGACAATGATATGGAGGTTACCAGAGGGAAGAGAGGTGACAGGGTAGTAAAGGGAGTCACATACATGTTGACAGAAGATCTGGCTTTGGGTGGTGGGCTCACATGCAATAAACAGATGGTATATCATAGAATTATACATGAAACCTATATACTTTGATTTATTTTTAAATTAAATTTGTTGAGATGACATTAGTTAATATAATTTTATTAATCTATGTGACCCCAATAAATTTAATTTAAAAATGAGCCTTGGGTATCTGAAACAAATGCCATCCTCAGAGTCTTTGCCCTGACCCTTCTCACAACAGGGCACACACTTCCCCCAGACAACTGCATGACTCCCACTCTGTCTTTCTCCAGGGCTCTGTTCAAATGTCACCTGGTTTGCAGGGCTTCCTGAACTCTCTGTAAAATACAACACACCACACACTCTAGTTTTTAAAAGATTTTATTTATTTATTTTTAGAGAGAGAGAAAGGGAGGGAGAAGAGAGGGAGAAAAACATCATTGTTTGGTTGATTCTCGTGCACCCCCTACTGGAGACCTGGCTTGCAACCCAGGCGTGTGCCCTGCCTGGGAATTGAACCTGCAACCTTTTGCTTCACAGGCTGGCACTAATCTACTGAGCCACATCAGACAGAGCCCCATCCACTCTATTTTACACCTGCTTTTTTTTATAGCATCTGTCATCCTCTGACATAGTATATTTTTTATGTTTGCTAATTTATATTCTGTCTCCATCATTGGATTGTGGGAAAACTTTGTTTCTCAGCATTCTATACTCTTACCCTAGAAGATGACTGGTACTCAAGATAAATTCCTCAAGTGCATGAAAGACTTTTGCATTAAGACTGTCTATTACATGACCTCTTGGGGATAAGACTGAGTGTGGGACAAGAATTCCTAATCACAGATGTCACATCAAATTCTTTAAAGACAATATGCTCAATATAAATATAAATGTATAATTTCTTGACTGAAAAACATAAATTCTAGCATTTCACTATGGTAATACCTACATGTGTAAAAATTAATTATTTTATTTTCTCCCTAGTTGTGAGCACAACAACATGGTACCAGGCAATGGTTCACAAATTTCAGAGTTCCTTCTTCTGGGACTATCAGAGGAACCAGAACTGCAGCCCCTCCTATTCGGGCTGTTCTTCTGCATGTACCTGATCACTGTGTTGGGAAACCTGCTCATCATTCTGGCTGTCAGCTCAGACTCCCACCTCCACACCCCCATGTACTTCTTCCTCTCCAACCTGTCCTTGGTAGACATCTGTTTCACCTCTACCACCATCCCAAAGATGTTGGTGAACATCCAGACACAGAGCAAAGCCATCACCTATGCAGGCTGCATCACCCAGATGTATTTTTTCCTGCTCTTTGCGGGGTTGGATGACCTCCTCCTGACCGTGATGGCCTATGACCGGTTTGTGGCCATCTGTCACCCCCTGCACTACACGGTCATCATGAACCCCCGACTCTGTGGACTGCTGGTTCTGATGTCCTGGATCACATGTATCCTGAATTCCTTGTTAGAAAGCTTAATGGTGTTGCAGCTATCCTTCTGTCCATATGTGGAAATCCCTCACTTTTTTTGTGAACTCAAACAGGTGGTCCAGCTTGCCTGTTCTGACACCTTTCTTAATGACATGGTGATGTATCTTGGAGTTGGTCTGCTGGGTGGTGGTCCCCTGGCTGGGATCCTTTATTCTTACTCTAAGATACTGTTCTCCATACATGGAATGTCATCAGTTCAGGGAAAGTATAAAGCAATTTCTACTTGTGCATCTCACCTGTCAGTTGTCTCCTTATTTTATTGCACAAGTGCAGGAGTGTACTTTAGCTCTGCTGGTACCCACAGCTCACTCTCAAGTTCAACAGCCTCAGTGATGTACACTGTGGTCACACCCATGCTGAACCCCTTCATCTACAGTCTCAGGAACAAAGACATAAAGGGGGCTCTGAAAAGATTCTTTGGGATGGCAGCTATAAAAAGACCAATCATCCTGGGTCTGAAAAAATGCCCATAATTGCACATAATATTGAAAACATTAGAGCCAGAAATTGCTATTCTTTGATTAGATTGGAAAAATCACGCTTTCTATTTAATGACTGGAATTTCCATTTTTTTAAAATTTGAAATTCCCTATACAATTTAAAAACTCACTTGATTGAGCTTCCTGCTCTGTCTGATATATGGTCAGTTTTTCATTTTTAAATTTTCCTACTCTCCCCATTTTTTCCCCAAAGTTGGATGAGAAATCTTTGGACATTTCCATTTATTTTATAAGATAAATTGGATTTATTAAAATTATTTTTCTCGGAAATGATATCTAACTTCCCAAGTAAATTTTCTATAGTATTCCTGAAAGAATAGTCATGAGTTATATTGCTGACATGGAAAAAAACTGCACTTGGCAACTAAGGGCACTTATATAATTTTATTGCAGAAGATAATTTGAAAACAGAGTTGTCACTTTGAGTCTGTCATTCTTTCCTACATCACCATCACTATCCTAGCTATTCTTCCTGATAATGTAAACTCTAACATGCTATTGAGTTTTATAACTAGTCTGCTAGTGTATTTTTTTCAGCCCAGTGTCCTCACTGCCTACTATAGGTACTAACAAAAATTGATTATCACACATATATTGCAAGTGAAGTCTACAGTGAAAGGCAGATTTGGATAAAGAGATTGACCTAATACGGTCTTAGTGTCAGAGACAACTTCAAAAATGAGGAAGCAAAATTTTTAACCACACATTTGATTACTATGAATTTTTTTTTTTTACTGTACATGTATTTACTGAAGTATGGAAGACTGGTGTCTGTGTACAAAGGCCTCCCAAAATTTAAAAAAGTTATAGTCAATATACAATGTGCTATTAGTTTCAGGTGTATAATATCATGATTAGACACTTATATGACCTCCCCAATCCCACTTCTGAATATTTATCTGAATAAATAAAAAAACATCTAGTCTAAAAGATATATGCATTCTTATGTTCATCGCAGCATTGTTTACAATAGCCAAGGTATGGAAGCAACCTATATGTCTATTGATAGATGAAGGGATAAAGAGGTGGTACATGTTTACAATGATATATTATTACTCAGCCTTAAAAAGAATGAAATTTGTGACAACGTGGGTATTATCATGCTAAGTGAAATATGTGAGACAGAGAAAAACAAGGGTTATTTCTTTTTTTCTACTGAGGTGAAGAATTGGTTAGCATGCTTATAGTTTCTTCATTGAATTATCTTCCTGTTTCTGCTTTAAAACTTACAGTGCTGCATATAGATATGACTCCAATGCTCCAAATGAAATGTCTCCTCTTTTCTAAATTGTGTCATAACCATGAAATGGACAATGAATAACAATATTGACATTGTTCATATATATGAGTAACATGTATGAATAATATATACTATATATGAATGATATATATTGAATAATATATATTATATATGAATAGTATATGTATATTCATATATGTGTGTGTGTATATCCTCATCGTCAATGGATTACTAGAGTTTGAATTCCTATTCATTCTAGTGATTCAGGTAACAACTTTTGTGAAAAGGGGCATGTCCTTTCAGTTTCCTCTGGGTTAGTGAACCTCAATGGAGTTACTTTTTAATACATTTATCTGAAATAAACTTTAATAACAATATAATCATAAATGCTATCTCCAAATGTCTGTACAAGTGCCTAGAATGGGAAACAGCATATTATTATATAATGATTGATCTCAGTTGTATTTTCTTTTATTACTGTATCAGTTAGCTATTGCTCCATAACAAGCCATCCTAAAAGCACATAATTTAATATAATGTCTTTATAATCAAATGGAATTATATGGTGTGGAGTTGTTCTGATCTCTCTGGGCTCACCTGAGTCTGTATTCAGATGTGAGTTGCTACATTTTGTTTCTAAAGCTTTTTCATGATGCCTAGTTTATCTGTATTGCACTTATTTCTTCAACCAATATACGATGTTTACACTATTTATATATGTGTGTGTTAATCTTACAGTTTATTTAAAATAGTTTATGAAATATGAATTGTCTTAATTTAATATCACAGTTCCTATATTTATATACAACACCTTGCTTTCTTCTAGTTATAAGGTATGATTCCCAACACCATCTGGTGTGACTCAACTACCTGTACTCTTGATCTGAACATGAGTTATATATACATCACCAGAATTTTTAATTCTAACTGATTTACTGGAGTATATAAACTGCACATATTTTAAATGTATAATTTGCTGAATTAAAGGAGCCATACATAAATTAAGAGCACACTGCATGAGTCCATTTGTACATAACTTGAGATGATGCACAATAAATTATAACTACACTTTGTTATTGTTAAGAATGTTATCCACCTGGCTTCACTTTTCTATTTTATTTTATTTTATTTTATTTTATTTTATTTTATTTATTTTTTCATTGACTTCAGAGATAGGAAAAGGGAAGGAGAAAGAGAGAAACATTGTTGTGAGAAAGAAATATTGATCAGTTGCCTTTCACATGTTCCCTGGTAGGAGACTGAACTCCTAACCCAGGCATGTGCCCTGACTGGGAATCAAACCCATGACATTTTGGTTTGTGGGGCAATTCCCAACCAACTGAGCGACACTAGCCAGAGCTTTACTTTTCTTATTTCTGAAGATAATGTAAAAACCTTAGTGCACTGTTGGTGGGATTGCAGAGTGGTGCAACCACTATGGAAAACAGTATGGAATTTTCTCAGAAAACCAAAAATGGATCTGCCTTTTGACCTGGCAATTCCACTGCTAGGATTATATCCTAAGAACCCTGAAACACCAATCCAAAAGAACCTATGCACCCCAATGTTCATAGAGGCACAATTTACAAAAGCCAAGTGTTGGAAGCAACCTAAGTGCTCATCAGTACATGAATGGATCCAAAAACTATCATATATTTACACAATGGAATACTACACAGCAGAAAGAAAGAAGGAGTTCCTACCCTTTGTGACAGCATGGATGGAACTGGAAAGCATTATGCTAAGGGAAATAAGCCAGGAGGTGAGGGACAAATACCATGTGATCTCGCTTTTAACAGGAACCTAATCAACAAAACAAACAAGCAAGGAAAATATAACCAAAGACATTGAAATTAAGAACAAACTGACAGTAACCAGAAGGGAGGTGGGAGGGGATAATGGGGAAAAAGGGTGAAGGGTTTACAGGAACAACTATAAAGGACACATGAACAAAAACAAGAGGGAGTGGAAACAGGGGAGGGAGGTGGGGAAGACTGGGGCGGGGGTTGGGAAGGGGTGGGGGGAAAAGGCAGAAAACTGTACTTGAAGAACAATAAAAATCAAAAGTATTTAAAAAAAGAAAACGATTATCATATCAATAAGAAAATAAACCTTACTTCAACCAGATGTTGTAAGGAATAAGTAAAATGTTAAATATACTTTGTTGAATGCAAAGAAAATGTTCAAGAGTGAGGAGTGTGTGTCTGTGTGTGTGCACTTATATACATCTTTCTTTCTTTTTAAAAATTATTTTTAATTGATTTTGCTGTTACAGTTGTCCCAATTTTTCCCCTTTTCCTCCTCTCCATCAAGCACCCCCGCTTCTTCAAGCAATTCCCCCACCATTGTTCATGTTCATGGATCATGTGTATAAGTTCTTTGGCTACTCTATTTCCTATACTGTACTTTACATCACCACGGCTATTCTGTAACTACCTATATGTACTTCTTAATCCTCTCACCACTTCACCCATTCCCTAACACAACCAACCCATCTGATGACCATCAAAATGCTCCCCATATCCATGACTCTATTTCTGTTTTTCTTGTTTGCTTAGTTTGTTTTTTAAATTTAGCTGTTGATAGATACGTATTTATTGCCATTTTATTTTCCCCAGTTTTGATCTTTTTTTTTTTCTTAAATAAGTCCCTTTAACATTTCATATAATAGTGGTTTGGTAATGAACTCCTTTAGTTTTTTTTTTCTTGTCTGTGAAGCTCTTTATCTGTCTTTCAATTACAAATGGTAGTATAGCTTTGCTGAGTAGAGCAATCCTGGCTATAAGTCCCTGCTTTTTATGACTTTGAATAAATCTTGCCAATCCCTTCTAGCCTGCAAAGTTTCTTTTGAGAAGTCAGCTGACAGACTCTGTAGGTAACTAATGGCTTTTCTCTTGCTTCTCTTAAGATTCTCTCTTTATCTTTAACCCTTGGAATTTAATTTTTATTGTTTTTAAAATGTTATTTTTATTTTGTTTTTTATTGTTGTTCAGGTACTTGTCTCCATTTTCACCCCACCATATCAACATAAAGGAAAGAATAAACAAATATAGGATCTTATCAAAATAAAAAGCTTCTGCACAGCTAAGCAAACATCAGCAAAATGAAAAGGGAAACAACCATATGGGAAAACATATTTGCCAATGATATCTCAGACAAGGATTTGATCTTCAAAATACATAAAGAACTCACATGAATCCACCCCAGGAAGACAAACAACCCAATCAAAAAATTGGCAAAAGACTTAAACAGACATTTCTCTGAGAAGGACATACAGAGGTTCCAGAGGCATATGAAAATATGCCCAATATCAGTAGCCATCAGAGAAATGCAAATTCACACCACAATGAGATGCCACTTCACACCAGTGAGAATGGCCATCATAAACAAATCAACAAGCTACAAGTGTTGGAGAGGTTGTGGAGCAAAGGGAAACCTAGTGCATTGTTGGTGATAATGCAGACTGGTGCAGCCACTGTGGAAAACAGTGTGGAATTTCATCAGTAACCTTCGGTATTTCAATTATAATGTGTCTTGGAGCGAGCCTCTTTGCATCCATATTGTTTTGGATTCTCTGTGCTTCCTGGACTTGCATGTCTATTTCCTTCACCAAACTAGGGAAGTTTTCTTTCATTGTTTTTTTCAAATAGATTTCCAATTTGTTGTTCTTTCTCTTCACATTCTGGCACTCCTATAATGCAAATGTTAGAATACTTAAAGTTGTCCCACAGAC